CTTAAGTTGCTAACTGAATTTTTCTAGAGAGAAGAAAGGTTAAGGTCATCATTATATTCATAGTTCATTAACTGGCTCATCAATAAGGCTCTTTCAGGGCGCGTTTTTTTGTATGTACATATGAAGGTGTCTTTTTTGGTGCCTTCGCAACCTTCTGATTTGGTTGTCTTTCCGGACTAATCACATCTTTCAAAGCAACAGCTGTATACGGGCTCTGAAGATTCCTCAGATTCGTTGTCAGCAACAACCATATATTGTTAATCAGAAAATATTTAAACCCAAAAACGTTAAATAGAGCACTTTACGAACTGCACGGCTTTGAGTCCCTAAATTGTGATCACAATAAAAATTTAAATCGCGTTTTAGCCGGAACCTATTTTTTTACCGCCTGTTAAGGATCAGTCTAGAACCACGATCAACGTAGACTCCCTGATGGTAGTATATGTAATATACATCCTGTGACGAGAGCGATTTTCAAAGCAAATTTTTGTATTATTATTTTTTTAATTGCCGTGAGGACGCTCCGCCGCTGGTCGTAGCACCGAAGCTACTGGTTTTTTTACCGCCTATCTAGGAAAGCATATTTTTCAGACTATCGGTGGTGCATGCTGGCACCCAATCGTCGATATTATCGATAGTGTCATTGATAGGAATAATCAGTAAACTGTAGAAAACCTATAAGAATTTTAATAAAACTACACATTAATAAACGCAAAAGTGAAACAACTAAAAAACAAACCGATTAAAATCGACTTAAAATTTGAATGGTCAAATGCAACCGTTTGTTTGCCGCCCAACTAGAGCTGCAAAGCAATTGCCAAACAGTGCTGTAAAGGGTTGATAGAAAGGGTGTCGCAAAGGGGTTCTATTAAAAAGTGGTATTACTGCGCCTAAATAAATTTTAAAAACAATAACAAGCTTACAAATATCATTTATTGATTTAGATTTAATTAAAAAAAAATATATAGCTTAATATTTGTACTGGTTTAAAAAATGTATACTTATAAAAATTATTATAATTATTTATGCACAATTAAATAATACCTTTGTATTGTTAAAAGTATACAAAAATATCTCTTTTCATCAGATAAAATATGTACATAATTATTTAATATGCTTTAAGCCCCCTTGAAATTTTTGTTCTACTCCCCTGGAAGGCGGTTTAATTAAAACTTTAAAATCGTAAGAAGTCTCACTTTACAACTTCTTATATTTGGCAGAGCTTACTTTGTTTGTATCTCACGAGTTATTAACTCTAAGACAATCTCTTTTTTGTACAATAACTCCAATTGATTTAAAGCTTTTTCCGGTTATGTAAAAATCGTACTTCATATAGCAACATCCTTGCCGCCCCTATGCCGTTTGTATGTAAATATGTAATTATTGAATAAATGATTTTTGCTCAGGCCAACAAAGACAAATCACACAATCATGGTCACTGGCCGTTGTTTTATTTTGGCTGTGCAAACGCAAACGAATTCCGCCTATGATGCCATGATGGTTCGGCCCCTTCCCCGAAATGATTCATTCATGCTACCCGTTCTCTGTCTTCTCTCATCTCCGACGGACCAAGCACCACCGACCGGGTGACCCACCGCACCACCACCCATCGTATAGAACACCACCCACAGCAAGTGCTCAGTGCAGCGAAATGCATGACGCAGATGGCAAAAGGAAGGTGTTCGGGGATGAGGTTGCTTTTCTGGTTATTCAGACGATTTCTAGCCAAAATGGTAGGCATTATTTTTGGGAAGGCATCTGGCGATGAGGACTAGAATGAGTTTTAAGATATTATATCAAGCAATCACAAAATAGTTCCAAAGAAAGTATTAGCCCAGAAGAAATCATGGTTTTAAAAATGAATCAACTGATAACATTATAAAATTATATTATTAATGTTATTAATATAAAAAAATATATATTGGAATGTTTTTTGTTAGATCATATTACAATATCAGTATATCAGTATACAATATACCATATTATCAAATTTTTCGGGTGCACCATGGCTTAGAACTGATAGATTGGCATCACTGATAATGCAGTGGGTGGGTGAAAGGAACCGTGGTGGGGCCTGAGCCTATTTGGGACATTTCAGATGCAGCAATGCAGTGGCAGTAGCTGTCTTTCCTCATCCTTCAACAACGCCGCCGGAAGAATGTCCACTCACACGTCACGGGTGTGGTGTCCTGCGCTCTACGCAACGAAAGCACCTCGTTGGTGACCCGGACCCACTAACTTCTCCTTCGCCAGGTGGTATTGGAAATCGAAGACAATGGGGCTGCTTAAATTCATTTTAATAATTGCGTGTAAAACGCCCGTTGACGCAGGTGAAACAGGCGAGGTGAGCAGGTGAGCTAGTCAGTTCGAGTCAAGTCCATGTCGACCGGCACGGCACTCGTGTGGAAACATTAGCACATGCCGGGAAAACGAGACCCGTCCCGAGAATGTCTGATACCACAGCGATGATGATGATGATCGTCTTGTATAGCCGAGATCGAGCTCTCGAGTCAAGCGGCCAAGCGAATCGCCCAACTATCTAGCAACAGTCTAACAATCGCTCTAATCGAGTCGTAAACCTGTTCATGTCGTTCTACCAAGCAATCTTGTGTACCTAAGCGCTAAAAGGGACAGCCTATAGAGGCTATTTTTGTGCGCTACTGTATCTGAACCTCCCAGTGTATTTGTAGGATTTTACCATATGACTACACATACCCATATTTTTTATGATACTTTTTTTGAGTGAAATACAAATTCCCAATCTTTCCCTACTTCTTACAAAGCCCTAACTACCTCATTACAGATCTATTAGCACTACATCCATGTAAGTTGAGAGGGAACTGTAAACTTAATCGCTGTGGATACAAGTTGATATGTGTGTCTGAGCGTCTGGCTATCGATTGTTTGCATTGAGATTTGCTCACACCTTTATGCTACAGCAGTTTAATGACGCAACGTGTAATTGCACTGGGAGAAATTCTTGGGGCAGGTCATAAGCAGCATAAGGAAAGGGAAATACAAGACTGAGCAGAAAATCCAAACTAAACATGAAACTTGGGTTATTTTATTGTCTGTATAGACCATAAAAGTATTGGAAAACCTATCCTGCAGATGTTTGAGTTTCTAGGAAGTAGAACCAAGGACAACCATTTTTGCCTGCCCGAACCTTTTTTATCGGTTTTCCGCTAGCGGTTCGTCCGTTTTGAAAAACCATCTAACCTTGAAATGTCGTCCCTCGTAACACCCAGATAACTCGAGAAATGGGCACAGATTGTCCTCTGGAATCTAGATACCGATACCATTGTTCACTGGCCAGAGACACTGTCTTTCTCCCGGGAGAGACCCCACATGCCCGATGAGAAAACGCGAAAGGCCCACAATTCTTGGGGGAACGAATGAACAATCCACACGAACGGATACCAAGAGTTTGGAGGGCGAAAAGTGAAGTGAGAAGAAATCAAACCACAGCGAAACGGAGACGCAAATCGGCTTATCAGGCAAAAAGTCATCGCTTCTGCTCAAATATGTGATAACTGAATGGACGAGGGCCCACGATTACAGGTGTTTACGTTTACTATACCGCCTCGGATGGGATGACTACTCGGAACAGGTTCGCCGGTTCGCCGGTTTTAATTAGCGACCCGCCTGTCGACAGTCGTCCGCTCGCTCTGTCGTCGACCGTATTATTCAGATTACAAGCTATATAGCCTAGGAATTTGAATTTGTATTTGCCTTTGCTTTCGCGCAAAAATAGCTAAAAACATGAATGGCTGTGGGGAGAAAACTCGACTGGTTGATACCCGGTTTGAGGGATTAGTCAAGACAAATCACTTGTGGGTTGATAACATATTCGGAAATAACTAGAAGAAATTAACGATTCTCGAATATTCTTATGTTATGTTCAATTTCTAATCTTAAATACCACACATTCCGAATGAACTTGAGAAATTAACCTCCGAATGATCGTTTGGCTGATAGCACAGATCTATAATGAAAAGTAATACACCCTCGAGCACGTTGATAACCAGGTGATTTGGAGCGATATGTTATAGCCTAGTCGGCAGTTCTCCTATATATTAGTCAATTCCTGAACCCACTGGGTTCGTGTAACGAACAGAACCGTCAAATGGCCGAACCACAAGTGCGGGATCAACAGAAAGATTGGCACATAAAAAAAAATAAGGGGTGGACCCAGTTCGATTAGATGATGAGAAGGGAGCTTTAAAAACATTTAAAGCGTATAACTAAAGGCACGTGGTGTTGTTTCTAAAATTGTTTTTAAGTCTAATCTTCAAAGAGCAAGTAATAAAACTTTGTTAAAAATAAAAAGCAACCTACAGTCTTGTTTTTAAGAAATTTTTTTTTTAGTTTTTTCCTAATAATCAAAATCCGCTAATGGCCTTTCCCGAATCGCACGCAATTAAATCGTTAGAATCTCGAAAATAGCTGCCCGCTTTCGTATCACCTGCTTCCCCACACGTTACCAATCAATTGACCCCAATCCGCGACGACATTGCGTCCCACGCTGGTGCTGGTCCACTCTATAAATACGAATCATATAGAGAACACAGCACACATCTGCAGCAACAATGCTGCAACACTTCTACCCATCGGCAACATCCACATCCACTGTTCTGTTTGGTTCTGTTCCACCGACGAACGGTCAAAACGCCACATAGAGTGACTGCACCACCTCAACCACCAACAGACCGCCCCCCCTCCCCCTTCCCCCATTGCCTCGTGGAACCACCACCCCTCTCCTAACCCCACAAACGCACCACCGGTGCGCGCAATTTTCAAATTTACCGCCAAACGCGCCCACAACTGTACTCACGAAACCCAAGCAGATTTTGTATGGAATTAATCAGGAAACCCACTCAACTTGTCAATCGCAGATCTAGTTTTGATCGCAGCGCCTTGGGAAAAAAGCCAAAATTAAGGGTATACCGTTGGCTATAGCCTCGATCGGTCTCGGAACCGATCCGAACAGCGGTATTTGAGATATAGGCGAAAAAGTGTGGAAACGATTTCGAGCAAGAAGAAGCATGCGGCAATTTCTAGCCATCGAACAGACGGCAAGTTTAGTCTTGTACGAACCGTCGACGGGTGAACATATCGGTTGGCTAGCAAACCAGAGGGATACACGATATATCAGTGGGGCCTACGATTGAATTTTTTAACAACAAAAATCCTTTTGCCTTTCGTAGCGCCGCCTGATGTATGGCTAACTTCTATTATATAGATACCCATATATATAATCGACAGAAAATCACCGCAAAATAATATTTAGAAAATCCAACGCTCGCTCTGTGGGATGTTGTTGTTGTCTTCTCTCTGCGCTGCCGCCATCGACTGCGGCTGTACAAATGCCGCGGCGGTTTTTTGAGTGTATTGCCACGGCTTGGGCCAATGGCGTGGGAGAGAGATAACCCAGCTCCGAGAGAGAGAGAGAGCGGAACGTATTGAGGGAGAGCGGTAGAGCGAGAGTTACTCTCTCGCAGAGAGCAAGTGCTTAAATAGACGGACCGCAGCTGAATCGCATTCAGTGTGTTTGTGTGCTTCGTGCGGTGCGGTTCTCTCTGTCTCTCTCTCGCCTTCCCCGAGTATTTTGCGCTGGTTTTCTGTCAATTCAGAAATCCGAAATACAATAACCAAAACAAGCCAAAAATCGCACTGTTCTTCTATATAACGCAGCGCTATACTGAAAGTTCCGGAAAACATATATAATTCAAAATCATCATAAAAAATATGTCGGCTGCTACGGAACAACAGAACAACGGCGATGTGGCCGTGGAGAAGGTGGCGGCGGAGGAGGTCTCCTCCGTGAAGGACGATCTCAAGGCGAAGGCGGGCGCCGAGGATAAGGCGGCCGCTGCCGATGCCGCCGGCGATGCGGCCGATAACGGTACGTCAAAGGACGGCGAGGATGCCGCCGATGCCGCCGCCGCCGCTGCCCCCGCAAAGGAATCCGTGAAAGGCACCAAAAGGCCAGCAGAAGTGAGTATCTCTCGGATCTCTTAACTCTAACTCTTTGTTTACGCGGTAAAATCGAAAGATCCCCCCCCCCCCTTCCCTCTTCCTCACCAAAAAAATGATTCACTTGATAAACGCGAGTTCCACTTTTTGTGGCTGAGAAAAATTCTAGAAATAGATATACACACGTTTTTCGGAACAGCGCACTCTCTCAGTGGCTTATATACCCACAAAAAGATAGAAAGATAGATGGAGAGAAAGAGAGCGAGAGATATGTGTGTGTGTTGTTTACGATTAACCAAGATGATTGCGGGTCCGGCAATCAAAGATTATTGTTGTTAGGTTCAAATCGAGGTTAGAGGGCCATCGTACATATAGACTGGGAGTACAGTACAGTTAGCCAGGGGTTTTTTGTTTCTGTGCGGGGTGGGTAATGTATTTTTAATAAACCTCGTAACCCCTCGCCCCTCTCCATAGGTCATTAGCATTGACGTGTTCGACTGAAAGGCATATTACCAAGCAATAGATATAACTCATACTCTTGGCCTTATTTATCCGCCAAAGCAACTACGGCAATTGCAAATGCAAACGCCAAGCGATGCCAATGCACTCTCTCAATGAAAACACACAGCATTGCCGGCCGGTAAATTACTCATGTCATGTTTCGCCACTTTATTTTTGGTTAGCATCGCGAAGAGCACGCGGTATTTGAACAACTTTTGAAGGGGGGACTACTACGACGACTGCGAATGTCGCATTCCATAATCGAGGAGCACATTTCTTGATAAAAATAAAATAGTTCGGCCAGTAAGGCAGATAAATTGGCAAATCAAGCGCTTTTCTCAAACTCAAACTCGAAATAAAAATGTACAGTTTAACGAGAGAGCGAGAGTGCCCTGCTCACTTGAGAGGCATAGATACGGATACAAATGGGAGAGAGAAGATACGGATACAAATCGGAGAGAGAGCTAGAGACTCGCTCTCCGCTCCCTCGTAATTTGTATACACACCATGGGCCGTTTTGTCTGTTTGCGTTTGTGCTTACATTTATCTTTCACTTTTTTTTCTGTTCTGCCTCATGCGTATTTATTTTGGTACATAAAAACAAGACAGTTTTACAGGGTGTCGCAAGCTCTAGTTAGTTATTTATCTTGGGCTTACCTATAAATCAATTAAGATATTTTCAGTATTAGTAAAAGTATATAGTACAGTGGGGTATTTTCTAGAATTGTAGATAAGATTTGAAACTCTTGGAGGGCATTTAAAAAAAATCATAACAGTGGAAATGTTTGTACTTATGCCCTTCATATTTCTTAAGGAAATTGAAGAATTTAAAATATTTTACTGTTCCTAAGTTGTTTTTATAAATGTTCAGTTTTTAATTTAAAAGTATTCAATATCTGAAGAAAAGATAAGCCAACTATTGTTACATCTCTTGATACTAGCTTAAATGGGTTTCTTCAATCTAGTATCCTTTCAATTAATCAAGATACGATTAGCAGAACATGGATTAACTGTGTGGTAGTAATCCAAGTACCAAATTCTACCCACTCCTGATGGACCCTGTTCCCTCCCAATCCTCAATTGCACATTTGCCGAGTTCTGGGTCTCGTGACTTATGCTGTAAGCGGAATAAAAGAAAGGGGGCGGGTTGGGTTGGCCATTAATTTTGCACATTTTTCCACAGCCCGCTTGTTTTCCGCATTTTCCGCTTTGTAACAGACTGGTAAATAGGGCCCATGTATTTGCGGCTACTCTTTGACTTGGGAACGTGACCGCCTATATACAACCGTATGCCCATATACCATAATATGTATCTTGTTGTTGGTTGGCCAGCGGCAAAAGTTGAACCCACGCATGTTGTTGTTTTGCGCCTTTTTTCGCTGCCGACGTCGCTGCAGCAGCTGTCGTTTGCGTGCGAGAGAGAGAAAGATTCATTCATGCAGTTCAGGTACAGTTTACAGTTTCTGCGAACGGGACGCTCTCACGGATTCAGATACTCTCTCTCTCAGGTACTCTCTTTCGCTCTCTCGCACTCTCCCATTTTTACAGGGCACGCTTGGCTTCGTTTCGTATCTCATGGATGCGGATACATATATCGCTGCCGGCGTCGCTGCTTATTGTTTTTTTTTTCTACCCCTTATGTAGTAAATATGTCGCCTAATACATACACAACAAAGATGTAACACGGCTGCACTTGTAATCCGCTCTCTCGCTTCCGCTCTCTCCCTCTCTCTCTTTGCCGCAGCGAATTACATTGGCGCGCGCATTTTTCAAATGTTTTTTTACGGCGAAAATAACGATTTTCGTGGCTGCTTGTTTTGTGGGCTGAAAATATACATTTTATGACTATGTACACACGCACAGGAAAGTTAAGAGGGGTATTGGATGCCCTTGATCAAGGAGATGTGTGGGTTTGAGTTGGGCGCGTAGGACCATTTTCCGAAACTTTGCCATTTCCTTTGGGTTTCCTATCTAGATGGGTAGATATTAACATATTTTATATGTATTTAGGGATAATAAAGGCCAGGGTTCAATACCTACAGCTGTTTAATGAACTAGCATTAAATAAAATCAAGAAACCAAGACATTTTTACTAATTCTTATCTTATGTACTTGCTTTTTCAGGCCAAATCCGCAGAATCAAAGAAGGCCAAGAAAGCCGCCGCCGCCGCCGATGGCGATTCCGATGAGGAAGAGGCTCTGGACGAGATCATCGAGGGCGACAGTGAAATCGAGAGCGACGAGTACGACATCCCCTACGATGGTGAGGAGGACGACATTGAATGTGATGGTGAGTTGACGAAAATACCTTCATTCTATCCCCCATCTAATCACCTGATTTCCCCCTCATCTTATATAGACGATGATGATGATAATGATGACGGTTCCGGCTCGGACGATCAGGCGTAATAATAATGTAGTCAAAAATACAAACAAAAACAAACAAAAAATTTAAATTAATAATAAATAAAAGTTACAAGCAAAAAAACAAAACAAAAAAAAATAATAATAAACCAACAACCAGAAAATAAACCACAACAAGGAGAAGAAGAAGGAGAAAAAACCACAAAAAAATCGCAAAAGTATATAATTTTTATGTTTAAGAAATAATTTTTTATTTCTTACCTTATTTTAATTGTATTTTATGTGTACTTTTTTTATAAAAAACTACAAAACAAACAAAAATTGTAATTGAAGGCATTTTCGTATGAAAGTAATCTATACGGAAACCAAACAAAAAGTAAACATCCCCACTATATACAAAAAAAAAAAAAACAAAAACCAAAATCTTTCTTTCCTTTATGTCATAAGTCCTAATTTAAACGCCCAGTTTATGCGTAAAACAAAAAATTATACAAAGATTGAAAATGTAGCGTAAACGAAGCCCGTGAATTAAACACTGACACACACACACATACAAAATATTAAAATTCATTATTAAATTAGACGTTACATTTATGAATGATCGAAAGAAGCAAAAAATACAAAAATGAAAAAGAAACAGCAAATGCAATTAAATACAAAACAAATAAAAACATAAAAATTGTATTTAAATAAATCGCAAAAATCATTGAAAACCCAATTTCGACACTCATTCAATGACACTCAAGTTTTAGCTATGGTTTCAAAATTTTCGCGCCCACTGTGGCCAAAAATTCCCACACCCAAGGCACTGGGACTTTCTTGGTCTTCGCTTTTGGGGCAGATAATACAAAACATCGGGAAGTTTGAGTTCTACCCTTCTGTTTCGTTTCAGCATTTTACTATAAACTATGAATAATCTTAAGTACTTACATATGTCAGTATTAGAGCGAAGGGTCTATTATTCTGTTGAGAAATTGTGCGAGCGAATCGATAATCGATGATAAGCCTAATTCATTTGTAAATTGTAAAAACCGACCCGAGAATCGAAAAATGAGCAAGAAATAAACTTTTAATGTTACATGAATCTACTAGTAAGGGTATCCAAAACTATTTATACACAGCCCCCAATACGAGTTCTTAAAATATAACGACTGATATTTGACAAAGAAATGTGCCCAGTTGGTCAATCAAGGTGCTCGATACCGAATGCCGCCGAAACCACCCAAAAGAACACTATCCTCCACTATAACCGATATAACCCAGAAAGACATACATACATATACACAGACCACCCACTGACCCAGATCTAATAGCAAATGGCTCTAAGCTTAAGTTGCTTACCAACAACTGAATAATTGAATTCAATTTAGCTGATACATATGCCGAAGATAAATAAGCCGATTTGATACCAGATATAACAATAATAACGATAGCCACAGACAATGTTAAAGAATCTCATGCATTTTTGTAAATACCAATTATTTATGTACCCGCTTAGTGCGAAACCAACATCCATTAGTACAGAAAGGCAGAAAACTGAACCACGAATCGAAAGAGAGAATATGAAACAATTTTGAACGATGAAATAAATACTTGTAATTACGTAAAAGCAAAAACCATACGTACATACCTATTGGCATCTATTAGATGCCAATAAAAAGTTTGTTTCAATTGCTTTGGCGATGTTTGTATCATTTCGGGTGGGGCAACAACCCCCTGCGATGGGATATGAAGTAGGGGGCCACTTATGGGGATGGAGTTGCGTTATCCACAAACACATATAGGTACATAATTCATTGATTGGCCTTTTGAACAGACCCACCCCTCCCATCTTTCATGTTTTCGGGGGTTGACAATACAGGTTTCTGCAAACCTCCCTATAGAAGAAACGTTTATATTTAGTAAGGGATGATGAAGGGATTCAATTGGCAATTTACTTCGATTAAGTACAATCTGGAGACCGGAAATAATAACTATAAGAAAGTTATATTTTAAAGCATTATAAACAGATGGTTTGGGACCAAGAGAAATATTACTAAACAAAAATTCAAAATTAAACAATGTCTAAAAGCGCGCCAACATTATTTGAAATTTCTTCTGTAAAAGCTTAAGTATAGCTTTTTACGAAAATATTAAAGCTAAGTTTCAATGATTATTACTTTTTATGTTTTTAAATTGTATCTTATAGTTTCCATGTTATTTATATCTTCAATTTTATAGAAAACTCAGGGAACTTCGATATAATTGACCATTAACTTTATAAAGCTCAAAATAACTAGGAATTTCTTTAAATAAATTAAACTACTTAAAATTGTACTGCATATTATTTAATTTAAGTATCAAATTTTAATTTAACTTCATAATTGTTACCGTTTAATTAAAATACAACTTGATTTTGATATTATTGCACGAGTCATGGTGAGGAGGTGGACCTGGTGACCTTCAGTATGTACAGATGCTCGCCAGGAATGCGTCGCTCCATGAAATTAACAGCCCGGAACTGGAGGCCCTCTAGGTATTTGATAATCTCCTCGGGCTTGTTCTCCCGCAAAAGGAGTAGGTAAAGAACTCCCCGAGGAGAAAGAATGTCATCCAGTTGCTTTAGTAGAATATCCGTTATGCGTCGCCCATCCTGCCCGCCGGCCCAGGAGAAGACCAGATTGCGTTCCGTTGAGGATTCGCTGTGGGAATCGAACTGTTGCGTCTGCAGCTCCTCGTCGCTGGTCACCACATAGGGTGGATTGAAGAGGAGCACATCCACTGACTTTGGACGCAGTGCATCAGCTAGATTGCAACGAATGCTCTCCAAACGAGCACCATTTCGGGCAGCAGTTCTTCGGGTGGCATCACAGGCTTTGGGATTGATGTCTGTGGCTAGGCATAGGGAGCATCCAGCCAGTTTCTTGGCCAGAGCAGTGATAATCACGCCCGAACCCGAGCCCAGTTCCACGCAAAGATGCGGCTGCAGCTGCTCCAGGTACGGCAGATCCTTTTCCAGAGCATCTAGCAGCAGGAACGAATCCTCCGCTGGCTCATAGACCTGCTCGAAGTCCTCCAGGCTCAAGTGGTCGGTGTAGGGCGTCTCCATGACGGACAGGATCTAAGATATGTTGGTGCTGAGCGCCGAGTCCAGGAGCGCTTGTCGCCGCCGCTGCTCCTTCTCTATCAGCTTGTGCAGATTGGTGAGCCGCTCCTGGCTGGTGCCCAGAACGTTGCTGATCACCGTCACCTTGTGCTTCACGTTCAGCAGCTCCTTCACCTTGTCCGCGAACTCGGGTATCTGACTCTGGGCCTTCTCGATGTCCCGCAGCTGGGCGGCCAGTGCGTCCAGTTGGCCACGCAGCTCCGCCTGCAATTGGATGGTGGAGGCCACGCGCTCGTCCAGCCGCTCGATGGTCGGCTTGAAGAGATTGGTGATGCCCTCGGCGAGGATGTCGCGCGTGGGATTCGAGCAAAAGTTCTCCGTGTTCTCCTCCAAGGATGTGACGGTGCTGTCCGAATCCATGGCAGAATCTAATCAGAATCCGGGAATCAGAGATGCTGTTGGGGACCCTAGATGTTATCGATATTTTGGTTCGATAGTTCACGACAGAGCGATGCAGAAAATTATTTATTTATAATTAAAAAATTAATATATATAATAACCATAAACATTGATGTAGAAAACGGAATCTTATAAAACTAAAATATTTTGCTTTGCTCTTTTATTGTAAAAAACTTGTCTTGCAATTAACTAAACTATTTTGTCTTAATACTATAAATAACAAAAATGTATTGGTTTTTATTAATAAATTATCTTTTAAAAGATAATAGTTTCTAATAGAAATACAAGCCAAACGATATTTTCAGCAGCTGGCAGCCCTGGTCGCAGCCGACTATCGATCACACGCACCTCTACGTTATCGCACGCCACCGCCGTTATCGATACACTACACTACACGGGATGTACGCACTCAACCATCGCTAAAAAAATATAATAATAATTTAATCGTTAAGAAAATCTATGCGCTGACTATAGCTGCCGATGAAATGGATACGTACTCGGTGGACGTGGTGTACCAAGCAATCAGCGCCCTCTTCCAGGGCAACAATCCCAAGGAGCAGGAGAAGGCCAACAAATGGCTGCAGGACTTCCAGAAGTCGGTGAGTGCTAGTCGCCCGGTGTACTAGATTTCCTTTTTTGTGCCTGATTTAAATGGCATTTCGTTGAAGATCTATTCGTGGACAATTGCGGACGAGCTGCTGCACCAGAAGCGAGATCTGCACGCCAACTACTTTGCCGCCCAGACGATGCGGAATAAAATCCAGAACTCCTTCAGCGAACTGCCCCCGCACACGCACGAATCCCTGCGGGATTCCCTGATTACGCACATAGGCCAGATCGACGAACAGACGGACAATGTGATTGTGACGCAGCTCAGTCTGGCGGTGGCCGATCTGGCCCTTCTAATGGCCAGCTGGCAAGAGCCAATCAACGATCTCCTGGTGACACTGGCCCCACATCCCGCCGCCATTTGGCCCCTGCTGGAGGTGCTTAAGGTGCTGCCTGAGGAAATAGACTCGCGGTATCTGCGACTGGGTGCCAATCGGCGGGAGGAGGTGCACAAGCAGCTGGACGCCAGCGCGGAGTGCGTCCTAAAGTTCCTGTGCATGTGCCTGCAGCGGGAGGATCTCGACCAGCAGCGCGTGTGGAATGCGGCGCTGCGCACCTACAGTGCCTGGCTGGTGATCCACGCCTTCCCCGTCTCGCATGTGTATAATAACGCCCTCACTCAGCTGGCTTTCCGATTGCTCTCGCTGCCGGAGACCACGGGCAAACTGCACGACAATGCCACCGAGTGCGTTTGTGCTTTGCTCTCCTGCATGAACACGCGCCAGGAAGCCGCCAGCGATCCGGAGTCCTCCGTCGAGGCACAGATCTTCGGAGCCGTGTGCATGTTGGAGACACCATATCACTTAAGTGTGGCGCACGAGGACACCGACAAGACGATCAACTACTGCAGGATTTTCACCTCACTATGTGACGCCTTCTTTTACGACTTGCTGGCCGATCCCCAGAAGCCACACTACTGCCTAAAGGGATTGGATCTGGTCCTGTTGTGTGTCGGTCACTTTGACTACGAGGTGGCCGAGATCACCTTCCACCTGTGGTACAAGCTCAGCGAGGATCTCTTCCAGCGCAACGAGGACAAACTGACGGCACTCTTCCGTCCGCACATCGAGCGGCTGATAAGCGCCCTGTTTCGGCACTCGCAAATGGAAAGCGACCACGACGGACTCATTGAGGAGAACAACAATTTCTTTGTAAGTTTGTGAAGGCGCTATTTGACAAGTTATTTTAGAATGATTAGAAGATTGTTATATATTTTAAAAGTAGTTTATATCCACAATTAATGAGCCATTACATTTCACCATATTGTCAAATTGCCAATTGATTAT